TTATTACTAACCCCACCATATATCTGCAGACCTGTCTGGAGCTACTTCAGAGATGCACTGATGTTATTGATAGTAGAATTTAGTCCTTATCAGATAGTTTCTTGGCTGATGCTTAAACATCTGTGATGTCTAGTTTGCCACGTTGGGTGAAAACTGTATTTTCTCTTTTAACATCTTTGCCATTCTGGAATGGGACTTGAATATTTTTCCTCATATATATGTGAATTGAAATACAAAGGACAATGTTTCACTCCAGCTTCTTCCAAATTTCATTCCAGAGTTGGCTTTTGAATCTCTGCCTTGTGAGTTGCGCTTAATAGTGGTACGTCTCTGCGCAGCCTGGAGCAACCTGCAAACTCCAGCTTGTTGCCCCCTCCGCTGTTTCTGTCTTTATGGTGAGATAAGATGCACTGGTAGTGCCAGGCGAAGTGTTTGTGATTGGTATCAGGTTAAAGTGATATACACGAAAAGTATGTTACCTTTCGATAATGATCATGCCACCAATGACTCCCTCCACAGCAAGCCAGTTCCTCACATCTGAACCCTAAATTGTAATCACAGAGCAGTAGATTATGTGCTGTAACTGCACCGACTGAGAGCACCTCTTCCCAGCCATAGGAGAATACATGGAAGGGAACTGTCTGTAGGAGAAGAAGGGAAAAGATGCGATGGTTCAGAAAGATCCCAGATTCGTCAAAGGATTCCTTCCTAGGTTCAAATCATGCACCACCACTTGAGCCATCGAAAGCGGGAAAGAAAGCACATGCTGGTGCATATTCTTTTCTTCCGGATTGGCTAATGTATTTTGCTATCTAAAGTTAAATGATCCTGTACTGGAAATTATGCAAAGCTTGTGCACCAAGCACTTCTGAAAAAATGAACTTGCGAAAATGCATGCTGAAGCTGCGCAGAGTTCTCGATGTGGGGTGGAGAAAACCATCGCTGGCGTGGTGTGCCCTGGGGAGGAGGCCAGGAAGGCGCAGGTCCACACAGGGATGCTGGCCTGAGAGGCTGTGCCACAGAAGTTTGCCAGAGACAGTGAGAAGGAGAAATGGCTACAACCTCTTTAGACGAAGGAAAGCTTGACGCTCTTAGGTTTCAACAGAGTGGCCAAAAGAGTTGTGCAGTGAAGGGAACTTTAACAAGGCTATAGACTAATCTTCTATTATTTGACATACAGTTAATTAGTGAAAATGAACACTGTTTCAGAACAGACAGTTGAAATGTTTTGTTACTGAGAAAAAATCTTGAAAATGTTTGTTCTATTTTCTTTTTTAAAAACTTTTTCTTGAAACATTTCCATGATGGATTTCTCAGGGCTAACTATGAATTTGCTTTTAAAAATGCACACAGACATTCAAGGAAATGGTCTTCCATGTAGTCCATATATTTAGTCATGTCTAATAGACAACATTTCAGGTCAGGTGAGTGTATTTAAATGAAATCTTATCATTTTTTCCTATCATACTTGAGTTCTCTATCAAGATGAAATTATATTTTAGCATTTCTCTATTTACCTTGCATATATGATGCAACCAGTCTAATCTAAAAGGATAATCTAACTCATGCCCAAAGATAAGTAAAATAGACACAGCTAAATGTTGTACAGCTTATGGAACAATGTACTTCTGAAGTGAGAGCAGTTCTAGCCTAACCGACATACAGTAGCAGTGCTTGTGATCCCACTTCTTCTTGGGAATCTTTTCTTGGTTTATTTATACCTGCACTATAAATTTTACTTTTCAATAATGTTTTAGAAGTTTGGATTTGAGGTTTATTTCAGTCATCTCCCATGTTTTAAATGTCGTTCCTCACTGTTCAGTTAAAAGCTTGTGTCCTCATAACCTAGGAATAAATTTGAAGGTGCTTCAAATCTTATCTGAGAGGAAGTTTGTGCTGTAAGAAGCAAAGTGTTTTTCAGTCCAATCCTTTGATATTCTGGTGTGCCGTAAATCTTATAGCATGTTAGCTGTGAATTTAATACACAGTCTTGACAGCTATGTTTGATTTTGGTGCTCTAAAGGATTCTGAAGGAACAACAAGAATCCGTTTAGACAGGGCAAGAAATGCCAACCTTTTGTTTGCCTCACTTTTTAGAAGGTAAATTGTGTTTGCTAGTGAATAACTTCAAGAAAACGAGCAGAATAAGCAGATCTTTCAATTCTCTGATAGAATTTTAGACCTCTTTAGCAAAACTTTAAACTTTCCCACTCCAGTAGTCACAGGTAAAATCTCAGACTAAACGGCTTGGGATTCCAGTTGTTCCCTGACGCGATGGGCAGTTCAATTCTGGCTGCTTTTCATTCTGTTTACTTTTAGCCCTTCTCTGTGACATTGGAAAGGTCTGCTTTAACTAGGTACAGCTATGTCATGCAATTGTATATTCCACCAAGACGACTCTTCGGCTGCGTGCAACATTTGTTCCCTTAAGACACTTCAGAGGCAGTTAGCCCAGGTGGTGAAATATTCTTCCAAGTCACTTAAAATGTAATGATTCTGTTAAGTGAAATAAAAAGCAAGCATAAGCAGTCTTCCCATCTATAAGCACACAGATGATACCCTACTTTCAGAAGCATATTGCATAATGACTAACCTCAATGTGCAGCCTTAGCTGGGCTCCAGCCGAATTCAAAGCAAGCTGAATGGAAGTAAGAGTTTATTTTATGTAAAATATAAACACTTTACCAGGAGAAAAAACTATTTTCTAATGCTACAACCTTAATAACCAACATGAGATTTATCTTACAGTTCAACGGATAGTGCAGGCTTTAATTACGTGTAAATACTTACTTAAAAAGAGCAGATACTGAACTATACACACGCACTGTGAAGAGTATGCTTTACTAGACACTCAATATTTTCATAATGTGTCCCTCATGGTATGCCTAATAGTTTTACCACCTCTTATTTCATTCAAAAACTAGTACAAAATATTGAAGTGGTTTTATTAGGATCACATCTTTTTGACAAGGTAAAGAGGGCCCATACATTTACAAATGGATGCACATATCCAGAGCCTTGGATAACACCGCCATGTTTCCTCCTCTTCCACTCCTTTCTCCTTCCCCTCATCCCTGCACTCATTCTTATTCGGCAGCATATGCTGGCTTCACTCCTAAGCAGTGAAAGATAAGTTTTAGAGCTTCTGCCACTACTCTCTAATGAAAGCCGCTGAAGCTAGAAATTTATCTCCAGGAAAAGCTCTTGAATCTGTAATATGGCTGCCCTAATGCTGCTGTTACTATTAGAATGAGAGTTGAGCCAGGAGTAGAAAATAATACGGTATGTGAGCATGGTCTGTCTCGAGACATTTGCAACTATGAACACCCTTGCAAATATGAAGCTGCTGTTTAGGCATAGTCACATTAAGGAATGCATGCCTATTAATATGGTTTAGGGGGAAGGGGTGCAAATATTCCTAATTATCTGCTGTGGCAGGCAAGATGTTTTGGTGAAATGCAAAGTGCCTTCCCAAAGGGTTTGCTTCTGCACTTTGGAAGCCCTAGTGGAAGGGTTAGGATTATCTAGAGGACAGAGCGTGAACTTTATCTGGGGTGCAAGCTGAGGGTGAAGAAGCTACATGCTAGTCCAGCTCCTCCTACAGACTTACTGTGCTATCACAGCAAAATCACTTACTATTTTGTATCCTTACATACACTAAAGTTGCCACCTGCAAAAACCTTCTTCAGCGTAGGATCATGAGGCTATTAAATTAACCACTGTGAATGGCACACAGAAGCTAATTTATTTCACATTGTGCGTTACATTATGCGTTGTCCAAGCCCTGATAACCCAACAAAGCGGAATTGTTAAAGAATTATAGCAACTCTGAGGCCGTGAATAAATGGAGTTATGTGCAGCCTCATATTAAACTATTTGGGTAAAGCCAGCGAGAAAAGCTCCTGGGGGTGAAGAATCATTAGTGTGTAAAAAGGTGTGAGCTTAGTCCAGATGGTCCCATCAGGAGGGCACATACCTCCTGATAGGTGTTGCGTGACCTTATATGCAAAAGGGTGTGTTACTCTAAATGATTCATGTGGGCAGGTTCAAGTAATCTCTTTGAAGCAATGCATATTAACTGGAAAGAAATTAAAAGGATGTCAGTTAAGGCATCGCAAGGCCTATTTAAATATTAAGTAAGTGCCATGTTAAATTGTGAAGAAACATCATTACTGCCGAACAGCTGCAACAGGAAAAAACTCTAATCTTTTCACTGAGCAAAGAGAGTACTATACCTAAAAAACTAAGAATAACCCTTGAACTAACAACACAGAAAGTCAGTTACTTTCTGACATGCCACAGACACAGATACCACAGACGGTGACATCTAAGAAATGTCCAGTGATTTTGACAGAAGTGGAGATGGCTTTACAACTTTTATTCCACTTCATTATCTCCATCCTTTATATGACCCCAAGTGGAGAGAATAAAGCCGGAAAAAGATTGCTCTCCTTGCTTGTATTCATACAATGGCCAAGAATCAATGCAGCTCTTAAGCTTATTCACATTTGTTACTGCACCAGGCACAGACAAAACAGCAAAGGGAGCAATACATGCATTGTCGAATGATTGATAGACAACCTTGTGTTTGGTAAAAAGAAGAATTTTTCCTGCGAGAAGTGGAGCTTTTCAAAATTGTAGTTATTGATAACTGTGCAATAGGCAGACAGGTTAGTATGCTGAGCGCAAGAAAGGCTGTCAAACGAGTGCCATCAGTACAATCCATCAGGAAGATACTTGTGTATCCTCTGAGTGGACAGACGTGCACTTGTTACATATGAACAAAGACTTCCCAAATTTGGACCCGAGCTGGTACTACAAGCCTGTAAGTGGAAATGGAAATTGTGTTGTAATTAGAGAAGCTGGATCACAAGTAAAAGGTTGTAAAAGCAAAAAGACAAAGGCAAAGTGTTAAGCTGATAGGAATTTCACCAGCTTGACATTGTTACTTAAAGTGCTTGGGTTGATTACGTCTATAAGAAATCAAGGTACACAAAAAATAAAAACAGAAGGCTGATAATATTAGCTACATAAGTTATTATACAGATACAGGAAGTGAGCAACAAAAAGAGAAATAAATTAAAACAAACCCTGTTAAAAAAGTACTAAGGTAAAGCAGATACAAAGATAGAACCCCTTAAAATGTCTTATACACATTCAGTTATAACAGGTAATGTTCAAACCTCCCCACCAGAAGCAGCAGAAAAGGCGCAAAACAAGAAGACTCTGCTGCTAAGAGGCATCAAATCACTGGCAGCTGCAAGTTGTCAGTTCAGGTCCCAAGTGAATGAGGTGAATGAAACATAATGTCTGAGGATAAAAGAAAGGTATGGTAGCACTTCAAAACCCACCATACAGCTGAATTCCAGTTTCAGCTTAGTTAGGTCTTTAATATCTTTATTAAATCTAATACAAAGGAACACCTGTGACTTTTTCTTTTCCTTTACTCCAACTGCTGAAGGAACAACACATTAAGATGTAATCTACTGATCTGCAGTAACTTTAAATTATTAAAATAGAATAAAAAGGAGTAATTGTGGGACATATTTCAACAAGGTGTTCTGCTTTCACTGATGAGGCTTCTCCATCACTCCCCTCTTCCGCCTCCCTCTGCTCCGTCCCAAAAATAGAAATTACGTAAAATCCTGACAGTCTGTTCTGTGAAACATAGAAGTTCAGGTCTGAGCTCATTCTCTAACATAACTGATTCACCAGCACTGCAGGACTTTGTTTGGTTTAGTGGAAGAACAGCACAGGACAAAAATATTCTATTCTCTAAGTAAGAACATAGTAATAAGATTTGTAAACGGACAATATATCTCATGCAGCAGCATGTGAAACAAGTAATGAGCTTCAGATATCCTTAGGCCTAATACACTGAGAACCTAATACCACAAAAACAGTCATTTTAGGGAAGCAGAGAATACTATCTGGCATCTCTGCTACAACTTTATTTTCTAGCTGCTAGCTGAAAAGCTTTGATTGTCCTAGATATTTTTCCATTCTTTCATAAGGTACTGGAAATCTATATCTCATACTGCATAAGAGAAAAAGGATTACATTTTATTTAATCAACTGAAATACTTTACATCATGGGTTTTCTGCAAAACTCTTGCGAATGCACTTTTTTTGTAGATTTGATGTAGATGAGAAGCTGTGCTGGCTGGAGTGGAACTATTCACATAGCTGTGACGGACAGCTTTTGCTGGACTAGAATGAAGATATTCAGCATACTGTAGGCTGGAGATGACTTACAGAATTGTAACTGCAATTTTTTTAGATCAAAAGAAAATGCTCCTTAATTTAGCCCGTGTTAGCAAAAAGTGAGGATCAGCATTATATACTTTCCACGACTTTTTAGAGTTGAGGTCAGGCCACTCATTTTGGACAGTGGTCCACTGCTGTAATCTTTTTGCAGACTAGCACAAACTCCTGCTTTAAGAACCCTTCCAACACTTTGCTGTATATTTTCCATCTCTTCTCATTTATAAACAGAAAAGTTAGGTACTTTATTTTTTAAAATGTTTTTTCATACTTTATGAAAAAAAGCTTACTCTAGTCGTTTTACTGTCAAATAACATATTGCAATTTTCTGTATGTTTTACACCCTAGAGTAGTCAGAGAGTAACAAAGATCAATATCCTATGCTTTAGTATTTAAATACTACTTCATTTTATTAACATTAAAAAATCAATTCTCAGATAAGTCAATCCAAATCTGAAAAGCATTTCCTAAAATTGAACTGATTTTAAAATTATTTTAATGTAAAAGTACTGTTCATACAAATATTGAAACATTGCCCTAAACACTGAAACAATACATTAAAGATATCTTTTTTGTTGCTTGTTTTAAAACTGAAGAATACCCTAAGAATGTTTGGCAGTAAACTGTGAAGTATGGATCCTCTGACCAACACTGGTTAATGCTGATCTAGAAAGTGTGTTTAGTCACAGCCAGGAAATATTCATGTTTTAAAAGCCAAGTGATTATTATATTTTTTATACGGAAATTCTAAATGCTCATGAATAAATCCATTAAAAAAAGGATTTATTATTAAACACCTATAGATTGAGTTTTCCGGTGGAAATATTCATGGGTCTCAGTGAGACCTGAAGTCTCCTGTAAGATGTTTGTCTTCTGTGTTAAAGACAGAACATTTGCATTCCGCCATTGATAAAAGAACTGGAATTGCCTACCAATTATGCTTGCCCTGAGCCTACATAACAACCTTTATTTGTGTGAATGATCTCTGTAGACTACTGCAATTATTCATCCAAGTCTGTACTCTAAGGTTACATTATACATCTGCTTTCTTGCATCAATATAACAACATGATAAATCTCAAATCATGCTAATGAAAAGTTCAGTTTTGTTTTTCCTTCGGCGTAAAGTGCTATTTTTCCTTGGTTTACAAAATTGCTATCAATAAATCCAACTGATCTTCAACTTGTGTTACTCTAGAAGCTAATATTTCATTTTCACCATAATTTAACAAAAGATATTTCACATTCACAGCAGATTACAACGAAAATACAATGAATTCCCTCTCCTACAGAAAACCAAAATATAAGAATTAGCTCTGCTTCAAAAAACATTTCTTGAAATGGAGTCTCTGAGACAGGCAGGCTTCTAAAAGAGAAGAAGTATCAAAAGCAACATTGTCTAATAAATACAGTAAGAGAGTGAATTAAAATATAATACATCAAAATAAATACTGTAAGTTGAGAATATTTCCTTCTAAATACTGGAACCAGCTCCTACTCCCCTTGCAGACAACAGGAGGTTTTTGCTGTTGACTACATTGGGATTGGAATTTGGCTACTGAAGTTCACGAATTATATAACAGCCTACACGGGTCAAATCAAGTAAGCCAGTTATGCAGCGTTACCACTGCCTCAACCTACTATTTATTCCTTCTCATACCCTATTGATACTTTCTTCTACCTTCTTTCTTTGCCAAATTCCAGTATGTGTGTACAGCAATTTTATTAACCAGTACATGACTAGTGCCAATAAAATCACAAGCACTTGCACTAAGCCCTTTGATGTTTTTAAAATCACACCCTTCTGACCCCCATCTGTTTTTGTGGTGACCTGAATGTTGTCAACCCTGGCCAAAACGCTAGTGATGATAAATACACAAAAGTGTGTGTAAACTAGGGGTTGCTATGTAACTTTAAAAATTCTCCATGTGGCTAACAAAAGGACTGTGTCCTGAAAAATGCAAATGGGACCCTACAGGTATTCAGCAAACTGCAGGATTGAGCCTTGTACTATGTATTGTACCAACAACACATTTTTAACTGGACTATGTAATTTCAGCCATAATGGATATGTTTTACATGAGCAGCGTTGGTAAGTCTGAAAACTCAATGTATTGCATTGTTTTAACAGAAAGATAAGGTCATCTCTATAAATGCACTTTTTCTCTGTGTCATATGTGTCATCTCTTTCCACTTATCCCAATTCTCTGCAAGTTCTGAAATCTCACCTCATCTGTACTATCTTGTGATAAACACAGTGACTGGACACACAATATTACTTAGTTCCACTGTAATTTAAATCTCTTTATGTGAACTTTAGGCTTAGGGTTATGCACTTAACAGTTTTCATAACCCAAAGCTTAAATGATTTGGGAAGAATATCCTCTTGCACTGCAGAGTAGCATGCAACAAAATCCCCTATGCAACCACAATTCCAATCATTATGAAACAGATTTCTTTTTCTTTACACTTAAAATGTGTAACTACATGTCAGAAGGTATTTAAAGGAATGCTTTGTAAGTCAACACACTCCAAAGCCATTTAGAAGGTTTTAAACAATTTGCCCTAAACACAATGAACACTTCCATAAAAAATACTACTCTAGCTTGATTGGGTTTAATAGTTGACATTCAAATCTTATTATCTGTAAATGTTAGTCCATATAAATTCCACTAAAATCTGACTGCAATTAACTTTTTGTCAGACTTAAAAAAAAAAACAAACAAACAATCCCCCTCTCTAAAATAAAGTTTCATGTGTCAAAAATGGTTATAGTCAACGCCACATAGATCATTTAATAGGAGGCAGAATATATTGTTGTTCAACAATACAAGATGTGGTCTGTGTAAAAGTCAGTTCATGGGGGTAGATCACCTTCCTTGCGTGCAGCATTGTTGTGCGTCATTATCACAGTTTGCCAAGTCACTCTCTTGACTGATAGAATAAAATATAACCAGACTCAGAATTTTTTGATATGTCAGAGGTCAGACCATAGAATTCTTCAATAGCTTGAGCATCTATTTTCTGCAAAATAAATAGAATTGTTTAATGTATTGTTAGATGAAAGAAATACCAAACATGAATTCAATGGCTTTATAAATACAAAAACCACATTCAGTTATTTGTTTCAGGGTAACAATTGGCAGGTTCTAGCGGCCATTCAAGCACTGAAAGGGTAATGTAACAGTTTAGGGGATAAACCCTACTGGTCTCACTCATGGAACATTGTCCCAGAAAACCTAAGTGAATTTGGCTTTTCCCAATAACAGAGAGACTTTTGTAATAGCAAAAAAGCATAAATGTGGCCTCATGTGTCTGAAGGGTCATGGACAGGGATGTGGCCTCATCACTTAATCCTTGTACAGGGGACACTTAATCCTTTCATTTGTATTTTTATTTTCCTTGAATGACTCTTGGCTCATGTGAGTCTGGCATCCTTCGTTTAGACCCACAAATCATGTGTCATCCATATGACTATTCCTTCATTAAGGTATTATGCAAATAGAGCAAGGAAGGTCACGCTTTTGATCCCTGGAGTGTCCGTTAATGCTGTGGCTTCAGTCTGGCAGAAGGGTTCATCTCCATCAGCCAGATGGAGTCTCCCTCTCCTGAAAATCTCCTCACTTCTCATGTACCAATGCTTATTTTACTCCACTGGATTTTCTCCTGGGAAACCAAACTCAAGACCCCAGTTTTGCTGAGGTGCTGCAGTAACCTCATTTGCCTAGCAATGAATTGCACTATGTTTAGACAGAATCTGTACTAGCTGCAGGCCAGATCCTGCTGTAATCTACATCCATAAAAATCCAGACTGACTGTAGACTCCAGATTTTCTTGTAACTTCCTAATTGTTGAACAATTAAGATTCTATACAACACTAATTTTATACAGTCCAATTTTGCAGAGTGATATTGCCAAGGATTGCAAAATTAGTCCCTGGATCTTTTAGTTTTTAATGAATTAAACTGATTTTATTAGGTTTAGAAAACATTCCAAACTAAGCCCCCTAAATCTCCTATTAAAAACATTTGATGTTGCACTGAAGTAAAACAGCCCCCCCGACACTGGCAGGGTAAGAACTACAGGACTAATCATTTTGTTTGTAACTGTACTTCTTGATAGATCTGACCCAAATGCCACACTGCAACTAAACTGCGGCTTTGTAGACTAGTAATCTATACCCAGGTCTGGATCAGATTTTAACTCCAAATAGAGGAGAGAGCATCAACATGAAGGCTGCGCTCACGACCTTCAGCATACTGACCTCTACAATGTCATCATCAAACAAGAGCCAAAATCCATGACTTTTCACAATAGTAATATAATGCCCCCGATTCGGTCCACTAAAAAGGAAAACAGAAAAAAACAAAACCCAAAATAATACTAGAAGATATTGTTGGGTCCATTTCGATAAGTCATATGTCCACATGCAAGCAAACTGAATTATAAACAGATTTTATGAAGATGATAGTAAACCCACCCCTGGTGCTACAGTAGATATGTTCTCTTTTCCCATTTTATTGACTTGTCACAATATCTTCATCAACAAAAACCTAAAAGTGTGCTGTTTTTCATTGGTACTATGACAATTTGCAAATCAACCTACAGAATATTTAACAGTTAGCTCATGGCAGACATCAATTATTGCAAATATTTTTAAAACAACATAAATTAAATTTAAGGGGGAAACCACATCAGTTTCAACCATGAACATTTAGTTGCAAACATTCTTTGAGAGAAGGTGAGAATAAGCCACATACCTGGAGCCCCAAAGATTTTTCTGTTTTTTTAAATTCTTTACAATCCACCACATTTGAGAAGCTTTGTTAAAGCTACCTTTTTCATTGTCTTGACAGGATATTCAAGTGATCTGCTGTAGGGCCTATACTATCAACCTCAAGCCCTCACAGAGTCCAGGCTCCCACGCTTCCCAAGGGAACTAATGAGGAAAGAGGTAGGTTCTGTTCTACTTTCTTTTTCATGTTTTTAAGTCAATCTTATGATTTTAGAGGCCTGAGATATGATTTCTTAAACAGATGCAGATTTACTATGAGAGAGGATAGCTAAGAGGTTCAGGCCCATGGCATAGGCAGGTCTGTGCAGCAGTATGGCTTATGTCCTCCCTCCCACTCTCCCCAAGTTTTGTTAGGAATGCTCTTGAAAAATGTCTGGAACTGGCAATAGTTCTAGATATACATGAAAGTAGTTTACCTCCCACAGTGAACAACAACAGCTACCAGGTCATACATCCGATCCAAGTTGACAGCATCACCAGATGTGTTGAAGAGACGCAACTCCAGAGGAAATACTACACGATAAGACAGCTTAGTATACCTGTGCAATTGCTCCATGTACTTGAATCTCTTGAGGTGTAAGGCAAGAATCATTGGCAGCTTTTTTACTCTCATCCTGGAAAACCATCAGAATGTATATGATCAAGATCTGAGCTGTTGAAAGCAGTTCTTTCTTCCTTACCAATTAAAGACTTGCATTATAAAAGCACTTTGTAAATAACAGTAGTCTACCAGCCTCAATCTCAAAACTAAGAGGTGTGTAATAGCTTTGAATCTGTCTATAGGTTCTCTGGTCTACACAGAGCGTGCCTGTGAGGTGCAAGGCTTCTAGGTATTTAAATACGATGAATTTTAAGGAGGAGGTTTGTCAAAGCTCAGAAGGGACATAGTGAATTACTCTCTTCTCCACTTACCTTTTCTGTGCCTCTTGTTTACTGCAGCAAGTTTCACAGTAGTATTTCTGTTCACTACATAATGTCTCTGTGTTACTGAAGTCTCTGTAAATAAATACAATTGTCAGTTCTTAAAGGTTCTTAACACTTTCGCCCCAGTGCCACATGTGGACTGATGAACTGGAACCCTAAGGAGGCATACAGGATGAAATCCCGTCTCCACTGAAATCCCATTTTCTAAAAAGTCTAAAGCAACTGTATTGAGGTTTGCAAAGGGACTGAAGGTAACTGTCCACTGTGACAGCCCTATGTTAGGAGGTGAGGGCCTCTATGCAACACGAAGGGCTAGGTGTCTCAGAATGGGACCTACATCCAGGATCTCTTACATGTCAAAGGGCTACCTAGACTTCAGTGCAGGGAATCATTCAACCTAACAGTCCATCCAGTACCTTTTTTAATTGTCTGCAAAGCAGAACAGTTTCAAGTGCATTTCTGTCAACCCCAAATAGCTCACATTTTATGATGTTCTTCTGGAAGATAGACTTGAGTCCTCTTATGCAGAAGAAGTAAATTGAACTCAGTCTTCTGCAACTTCTAACCTCTGAACTGTCACGCAAAAGTTATGTGATTATACCTTCTTGCTGTCTATAAAGGAAAGTGTCAGCTAGTATAGCAGTTTTTGCAAATCCTGATCAAGTAAATATGCTTAGACATGTTTCCGTATTGAGCTTTTGAAGTGAAAGAGGAAGAGGAAGGCCCGGCTTGTTAGTGCTGCTCAATTCACAGAAAAGATTTATAAGGATTCACTGTGCTGATATGGTTTGGAGCAGAATTTTAGGTAGCTAAGGAACTTAACTGTAAAAAAAAAAAAGACACCTAGTAATATTTTGGTCATCTCTAGTATTATGTGATAGCTGAGCAGGGGTTTTGAGAACTGTAAGTGTGGCCACAAGCATCTAACTTCCGCTTCAGGCACACAGGTTTTCTTGTGACTCTGGGCTTTAAGTAGATGCATCTAAAGTACAGAATTCACTTGCTGATTGCACCTACTACCTGATAGAGTTCTGAATTCCCAACAAATTCAGACCCAGTAATAAACTCCCCTCTGCCATTGCAGTCCTTGTGCTCTGAGACTGAATCCACACTGCTCACTGTGAGAGCAGTACTTGGACTTGCAGGCAACACCAGGACTCCTCTAGAAAGGCAAAGGGAGGATTCTGGATCTTCCTGGCATCATCACCACAGAGGTACATGGGAGAGCTGAAGACTATACAGATTGCCAGGCATAAGTATTAAAAGTTACTGTTGTGTAAAAGGTAAGGGTTTTACAGTTTCAGGTTTTAAGTTCTTAGAGGTTAACAGAGGATGACAGAAAGGGTGACAGAGAGACACTTCATAGGACTGCATAATATTTATATCTAACTGCTAATTTATTCCTATTTTTTTCATTATATGGTCTTAAACAATTTTATTAGAAGGTGCTGAAATTTAGGACAAAATACATGTCTTGGAAGATAAGTTACAACAAAAAGTGGTGGTATTCTTTGGTCAAAAACATCATTCTTATCAAAAAAAAAAAAGATAAAGCGTGAACAGTGGTGAAGTATTTAATTCAGTGCTAAACATTAGACCTTGAATACCTGATTTAACATTTGGATTTTAAAGACAAGATTACTTTAAATGGATTGAGCCAATTTCTCTGAAAAACATGTTGA